ATTCAAATTTAATTCCATCCATTACAGTAACCCACTTGTAACCTACTGTACAGCAGAGCGACATACACGACTTACCCGCTTTTTTTTGTTTAGGTATATTATTTATTATTATAATATTCTTAAAAAAAAATTCTGAAGTATCTGTTTTTTAACGTTTCATGTTGAAATATTTAACGTAAATCATCGAATACAAATATTGATTATAAGATATTAACTACCTATTAATAATAATTTTGTATTTTTATTGAATTTCTTCAAAATTGTTTGGTACATTATGAAAATGATTGGAGAAACAGTTAAGGTACATTTCATTCTTCTTACCTATACTAAGAATTTTTAACCACTCTATCTTAGCAGCTAGMAAAGTATAAAACAAAATTTTAGTAAATAATATAGATATCAGATTCAATTATCGATATAGCAGCCAAATATTCTAAAATCCAGCCAAAACGGTGGCAGGGAGTCTTACGACAGCCATCTGCTAGGTAAATCATCCCTGGATCGATCYGATCGGTGAACGGTACAATTATACGAGTAATTGTAATTAATAATTTATTTAAAACTTATATAATAGCAAATCGGCATTGTATTTTTATTTTTTATTTTAATTATTATTTGAACTCGAAAATCCGCTGAAGTGTAAAATCCGAAACGTTGGTTTGTCGTGCACGCCGACTCTAAATTTAAGCACAAAATATCCTTGGGCAGACTATGGAAATCGACGATTTAAAAATAAATGACCCGCTGGCGGACGCGCCTAAGTTCCCCGTGTTTTACATCATAATATCGCCTATCGTTTCGTCAGATGTTACTTTCCGTTATTCACTGCTTATTTCGTGTTCATATTAAAAAACYCGACTTTTTCAATAAGACAAGTATCGTCAAACAATAGGCGAATCTCCAATTTTTTTCTTTGTAGAGCATCTATTAAGTAATGGTAATAACTAAAACAAATTTTGTGGCCTGAAAAACTAGCACACACATCAAGATTTCTTAATGCAGGRGATGATATTTTAACATTATCAGCATTTAGTCATCCCTTATTGGTCACTTGGATAATCGAGGTAGGTACATCGGTTTCAGATCGATATGGATTACCTAGTCTACCTATCTAGTGATAGTTTGACTACATTTATAATGCACATTATCAAAATATGATGTGCATGAAATGTTTAAAAGTGTAAAAAAAAATTTAATTTTTCAATGACAGCTTTATCTAATATCTTTAATCTTTATGATAGCMCGTAAAACATTAAATTGCGATGGTCAACGATGAAATTAATAACAGATCGAATACTCACTAATTGAAACGGTACCTATACTAATATGGCTATTACAGCAAGATAAAATACATTTTTTGTGTTTAAGCAACAATTAATATCCGTGAAGTCGTTTAATACATTCGGGACCTTATTCGGATAAAAACAAAAATGKAAACTTAAATTCGCGTGCATTTCAAATGTTACGGGGACGCGACATACCTGAGGATTAGTTTCTGTCACCACCAGTCGCCTATTCCTTATTTTTGATTCCTTGCCGCTCTGACATGATAACGTGTTGTGTTGTTATCACGACCGTTCCGCATTCGGCACGAACGTTCGCACTCGCAAACTCCAAAAAGCCTACGACGGCGATGACGATTTTACGGTACCCAACGTATAATCAGTAAAGGTAATTATTGCTATTATTATCGCCGGAAATTAATTGTCGAAATACGTGTACGCGCACACGGGTTTTCGGACCGAGTCTTTGTGCGCGCGTGATGAGACCGCGTCCACGCCCGCTCGAGTGCGAAACCACGTAGAGGGGATCGGTTTTACATGCGCAGTTTGTACAGCGATATTTCTTGCGATTTATATCACGCAGTGGGCTATTTTAAAGTTTTTGTTGTAGTTTATATATTTTTTTTTCATCATTTTCATTTCGGGGGTTTTTTTTACGTATTTTATTCTGACGACTTCCTTTCATTTGTGTGGGGCATGTTATATACATCGTGTTACGCATGTTTGCCAATATTCTTCCCCATTCCGCACCATCGTCTGTTTTGCCCACACACGTACGAATGTAATTATAATTTTTACCATTATTATTATTAGGTTTTATTATTAGTAGTAGTATTATTATTATTGCTATAAGTACAGTTACACACGGTCACGCAATATGACACACATTATTTTTGTCTAATAYTATTTGAGAATGCATTATGATTTCATTTTTCAGCAAGTAAAAATAATTAAATGTTTTAAAAAATAAGCAACAGTGTGTCATTACTGAGTAGTAACGACGACGCTATAAGACTTCACCTTAAAAAAAAATTGGCTTGAAAATGTGTTTCAGGTCAACACTGAACATCTCGAATGCCCAAGGTATAAAATATTATTTTTTATTTGGTTCATAATATTTTATAACGTTCAGTATAAAACAACAATATCCTAACATGAACAATATTACTGTTACATTTCTCATTAAGTGTAAAAAATAAAAATTTTAATTAACAATAAAATAATATAAATAGAGAACAAACGTGTTTAAATATTAAACATTATGGACGTTGGACATATATATCATATGGAACCCTGTCTTTTCCCATTTCACACTTATCTGGGTCACATGTTTAACGCGGACAGTGTAATTCATGTGTATACAAACAAATCGCCAAAAAATCAAATTCTATCCCAAATTTGTGTCTTAAAGAATCGGAACAACAGAAACCCAAAAACTGGTACAGAAAGTTTCTCATCTTTGCACATATATAACCAATAGCCGAACACAGCCAACGACAGGTTGCCAAATATCTTCAAATACGGCACCGCATTGGGCTCGGGCATTTCCGGCTGATGCAATACGACGGCCGATAGCCATTCTCCTGACGTCTCCAGATTTACATCAGCTTCCGGTTGTATAGACAACTTTTCCAACGAACAATCACCGCTCTCTTCATAGTATTCTTCATTTCCACAATCTGCATCCACGTTACCATCTTCTTCGTAGTCATCCCGCAGCCCAGCCTCAAATCTAATGACTGGTTCATCACAGCATTCTATGGCTGCGGCCATTTTTAATTGTTCAAAGTCAAAATAAGTTTTGGCTACAGGTCTCCTAGCCACTCCACTGTATTGTTCMACTATGTCACCGTAATGTCTAACCGCAATCATCTCAGCGGCAGCGGTGGCATCAGTATCTGTGGATGAGTCAGCATCGGCATCCGTGTAGGTATTAGAATTGTTGACTGGAGAATCGTCACCCCCGTCACTGGCTGCCAAAGATATCTTTGAATCTCGTTTTGGAGATTTCTTCCTGGTCACTTGATCATCGTACCTGTCACGGTCAGGCCCATTTGATTGCCTGTTTAAAAACGGTGGCACAAAAATCTTCTTCAACAGAGACTTTGGGCTGCGATCGTTTGTCTCTGTAACTGTAATGACTGGAAGCGTCGGTCTTACACCACTACCAACGCCGGTTTCCCGTTCTGGTATCTCGGGTGGTACGATACCAATCGAATCTGACGATAATTTAAATATCACCCGTTCCGAATTCTCAGATGCTGTTGCATTCTCCTTGAAAAACGGATTCGGCAACATTACGTACTTGGGGATTCCGTCCCTTGGCCGATAAGTCCCATCCACTGACGTCTCTATAGTAGATATTTCAGCAGTGTCTAAATTTTTCTCATCTGGTCGAGAGTATTCACCACTATCAGTCGATCCATTGGAATAATTTAAGGAGTCTTGTGACATCGAGTCAGACTTTTCCGACGTCTCTTCGGTGGACGGTGAAATCACCGTCGTTATCGACGATCTTCGTTCAGTATTTTCAGAGCCTAAAGAAGCCGAAGTTATAACTACTTCGTTGGCCTTTTCTATCCAATTGGCGGGTGACTTTGACCGTTCCCTGTCAGAAAGTTTTTGATCTGACATGTAATCATCATCACAATACACCGTCGAAAAGAAAGCGCTAGACGAATTGTGTTCTAACGCTCGTTTTCCACTTCCAAAACTGGTAAACTTTTCTTCTGACATATTATAATCATCGTCAGATTCTATTGAAGTTTCAGACTCTAGACCAGAAAACGTAGTAGACTGTTTATCATCATCATCAATTGTTTCTTTTACATTTTCCATGATTTCTTCATCTATGCTGTTTGTTAACGACATAAAACTAATTGTGTTTATTTTTTTAGAAGTATCGACGACACTATGAACTGAATCTGAATCGCTAAAAACTGATTTTTCTTCAGAGCCATCTTTTGATCTTCTAGTAATAGGTGACCGCCTTAAGCTGTTTTTCCTGTCCATCGCATAAATCGCAATTTTTTGAGCTTCTGATGAAACATTTTCATTATTTGAATATCCATTGAACCTATTTAAGTTTCGTTCATACAGGAGTTCACTAGAGCTGTAAGAGTTCCTTAAATGTTCTTCGAAATCTTCAGACTCTGCGCCTAATTCAGGAGATGATAATGAAATAGGTGGAGCTGATCCTCGTTCGAAATTCAATAGTAATAAAGAATCTGATGAATTTCCTAAAAAATATATTTACATATAATTTTGATAGCTATAATATAATATAAATTAATAATTTATGTTATACACATACTTTTTGTTGTATAATTCATTAGTGATGTTAGAGAGTTTGTTGTATCTCCCTGACTTATCATTCCATTATTTGTCTTTAATCCAGGAGGTAAGCCCCAATGGTCTTTTTGTTCAATTGGCTGTTGTATGGTCTCAGTGGATACGTCTAGATGACTAAAGGATTTATAAATATCCGTCTCGGAGTTATTTAAATCAGCCTTCGTCTTTTTTTTTCGTCTCTTTGGTACAGGAGGTGAAACCTCATCTACACTTAATTTCCTCGCTTTAGACGACGGCTCAGGAGATTTTGATTTTCGACCAAAATACTCCAACATTTCCTTTTCTTGGAACTGTATTAGTTTTTCTTCATCCTCTAATAGGAGAGCTGGTGTGACTACAGGCTTATATATACTGTATAAAAAAATATATGAATAAAAATAAATACTTCTACTAAATACATTATATTTTCTTGTAACATTTGAATGTTAATTTACCCTCGTTTGATATCCGGTAAGAATATTGGTTCAGATACATCGCTTGGTAAACTCATGCCATAAGGATTTTCTGCTTTTACTCGGAATCTGTACTCCGAACCTTCTAGTAAATCATCGAGGTCTGCAGTAAGTTGTCTACTGGTGGACGCTTTTAACCACATATCCCATCCAACCTGCGAACCAAAGTGTTAGATATTAAAACATGATTAACCAAATAGCTTAAAATCATATTACTCTATTATACTCAATTATATAATTTCCAATTTTACAGCCTCCGTCATCTTCTGGTGGCTTCCAGGACAGTGTTACAGATTTACCTGACGTTTTAGATACATGCACTTTACCTGGCTGTGAAGGTCTATCTAAAAGTAAAAAACAATAAATACATTTCATTCAAAAGTRCATTAACTATTTTGTATAAATAATAAATAATGGTTATTTAAACATTATTAAAAGTCATTTTGTCCAATACTTATTACGTACCCGTAACAGTGACCAAAAATGAAGCCATATGTTCACCCAATGGGTTTACTGCTTGAATTTGATAGCACCCTCTATCTGATCTTTTAACACACCCTAATTTTAGGGCGGCATATTTATCTGTATGAATCACTTCAAATCTAGAATTTCAGAAATGTTTATTGTAGTTACACAATACATTAATACATTATAATTAGTTGTTTTGTTTTTATTATTGTCAACAATAACATAAATATTCTAATAAAATTGTTAAACTTCAAGTTGAAATAAAATTGTGGTATTTAATTAACGGGTTCATTAATTTTCAACTAATTGTAAAATTATAAAATTTTATTCGATAATATTATATAATATGATATATAATTTGTATACATTTATAATCTAAAATTAATTATATTTACTTACGAGCATTATTGTAATTATTATTATTTATTTATATACAATAAAAATGTGTATCATACAAAATATTTATTTCAATGATTTAAAATTAATTTTACCTATCACCACCACGGATTTCTTCACCATCGTGAAGCCAAGTAACTTGTGGTAACGGACGGCCGGAAACTGATACTTTTAATCTCATTGGTTCATTTTGTTCCAATAACAAACCTTCTTCATAATCTTGGGGTAACCGAACCATGGGCGGCGCTAAAAATAAATTTCACTTTTAAATGATCATTCTTACGACATCTCGCAACTATATTGTGTCATTACGATTGATTATATATATATATATATATTATTATTATTATTATTAGTTTTTAATGCAATCATTTTAAGATAGTTGATAAATTAACTTAGTAGTCATTGGACTATGGTTTATATTCTGACGTAACAATTATTAACATATTATATATAGGTAAGTCTTATATTAAATATCATGATGTAGTGTGATTAGTATATACCTTCTAGTCTTAACCTAGCTTTTGTTATCGCGTGGCCAGCTCTGTTTGTAGCTGAACATTTTATTTCTCCTTCGTCTGAGTACTCAGCCTGGTGGATATATAATGTACTGATTCCATTATCAGTGTTCACCCTTTGCCGCCTGTTACTGAACAGTTCAAACCCGTCTTTAAACCAACTGATTTTTGGCGCCGGCGTACCTTCAAACTCCACTTCGAATTTTACCTTAAAACGTGTTCCATTAGTGTAATTTGWATATAAATATTATTATTTACATTTATATACAGGTGTACAATAGTTATTAATTCATGTGTGCCCACAACTATTAAGTTTATTAAAATATGTAGGTATTGTGTTTTTTTTGGAATTTTTAGACATTCTATAAATCGTATCCGAAAGGAATCCATATTATAGATTCCTAATATAAAAATGTCWAAATAACGATTTTATGCTATCTGAGCAATAAGAGATGATATAATTTAATATCAGTACCTTGATTATATTATAAACAAAAATTATGTTTTAATGCATGTCCTCGTTAATCCATATGAATGTGTGATCAAACACTTTWAAAAAAAAACTTTTTGTTTGCAGGTTTGCAGTTAAAATGTATTATACTGGCGCAAATAAAAAATAATAACAAAAGTACAACAGAATGTCTTTGCGGTCTTTAAAAAGTTAAAAAAATAATTAATACTAAATTTGTGTTATTGAATTTAATTAGGTTGTATAATCTAGTTACAGCAACTTTAATAGAAGTAAAATATTATCATATAATTATTCTTGAACGTATCTATGACTTTCCAAAATTATTATTATTTATATACTATACAGATATATTTCAGTTCTTCGGGTTCTATTTGTAAATGGATTTCTAATTAGATTTACGTGCTACGAACGTTGACATACCTGATCGTTTTCCAACGCGACGCGGTCTTCTATTCCACAAACGAAAACCGGTGCGACAACAGCTGTCCTGTGAACGGTCATCGTGACCGGATCTGAAACGATGCTCGGTGGCGATTGTCCCGATGAGTTGATAGCTTTTACTCTGAACTGATAACGCCATCCTGGCTCGAGGCCACTTAACGTCAGCTGATTGTGTGGGACTTTTCCCGGCGTGGCTTTGACCCAATGAGGTGAAATGGTCCGTCGATGCTCAACAATATACCCTAAAAACAGCAGAAGCCGTATCGTATTATAATATTGTATATAGATAAACTACTGGTATGATAGTAAAATATGTATTTCTATCCATAACTAAACTTAGCTTTAGTTAGGTTTAACGTCCCTTACACTGAGAACTGAGAGCAAAACTATAGCATTGGTAAAAGTATACCTAATACTATACTTTAGTCATCTACTCGGTAACTTTGTTGCCAATCGATGAATAAAAATTCAAATCCATTGATATAATATAAGCATAATAAAGGTTCATATTCATCTTATATACCACAGCCAAATTCATCTACCTTCAATCCTACTTCCCGTAACTATAGGTCAAACCCACCTTTGAACATTTATGATTTGCATATTTTGATAAACACTAGATTCAGAATTTTTGAAAAAACCCCACTAACATTTTGAATGCTGAAAGTATTAATAGTTTATCACAAAAACTGAACTTTTCATCTATCTGGCAGATGTCTACCTAGTACCTAAATAACGTCAAATTATAATTATAATTAAAAATTGTTTTTTAAAAAATTATTATATCAGTTAAATATTCATACAATATTCCATACTTATTTCTAAAAAAGAAAACCTGTATAACATTACGGTTATAAAATTATGAATCATTACTAAATTAGATAATGTGTTTTAGTATTATTATTTATTTATGTATTTATTTTGTAATTCTCAGAAAAATAATATACATGTGTCCGACAGCCAAAAATATGACTTTCAAGACGTATATGACGTAATAGCACTTGTATGATACTAATAAAAATTTGGCCACGTAATAAAAATTAGAAAAATTATATTGGTAAAATGATGTAAAATCACATAAAACATTTAAAAATTAAAATTAAAATCGCTAAAATAATTATCATTAAAGCTAAGATAGTTTACACACCTAAAATTTTATGTAATTTTTCACAAAGAAAATTTTTGATAAATAAACATCTTATTGTTTTTTTATTTAATTAATATTTACCTTTTACCTATGCATTTTATATTAATTGGTAATTAATAGTAATATTTTACCAAAATGTATAGTTTTAATATGTATGTTCAGTTAAGATTTGTGGTCGGAATTAAATCAATAGTATTTATCATTAAATTGTATCAATTATTAAAATAATTATTGATAAATAAACCAAAAATATATTGCTATGAATTTATTGATATATAATTTAATGCATATTGCATAAGCTTAGTTTTAACTATCTCGGTTTAATTAATTTAGTATATATAATATATATATTATATATTAATCTTACAATATTAAATACTTATTTTGACATAGTTTTATTTATTTTCTGTACTTTGGCTATATTTACTCTCTATAAAAGATTATTCAGTAATTCTGCGAGGGTTAAAGACACGTGTATAACACTAAGTCATTATTAATAGAAATTCCAGTAAAACGGTACGCTTAATACGCTTCGTCCTACTTTTTGGCACCGGAGAATAATATGCGTTTGATGTGAATGAACTTTCTTACTACCTATATATTTTGTTATTGTGATTCATTTCATAGGTGCCGACTGTAAGACATTATATTATTTAAAAAAACTATAATACAATTTTAAATAATACTACTACATGATGTTTATAACAACATTTATTTTACCTATCAACGACTTTAATAATTATTATTACAATGATCATTTAATTTGCAATTATTGCACTTCTTTGATTATATGTAAGCGTAATAATATTTTATTTTAAACAAAATAATCTTTTTAATTAAATTTCGCCATCTATGTATTTCGAACAAGTTGGATATTGTGTGAAAGTTGTCGATTTTTAAATGATATGTACATCATATAAGCTTTCCTAGGCTTTGTTATTTATTCTGGTTTAAAATGTTTAAAGAATAAGCAATGAAGAACGTTCAAGTCATTTTATGATCCATTCAAAATGAAGTATATTACATGCTTGTATAGCAGACATCAGTTGTATTATATATATTTATATATATGCAAATAACGGTATTTTTTTTGTGCAAATCTACCTGTGATTTTCGAACCGCAGTCACGGGCCGGTGGTTTCCACTTGACAGTTATCACGTCCGGTTCGTCTGCTGGAGCCGCGATCACCAGATACGGTTTTCCCGGCGCGGACGGCGGACCTGCGTCAAAACGTACTTATGGAAGAATACAACGAGATTACGAGAACATTATTTATCATGATCACATCTTATTCGCGTCTACGGAAATCCGTATAACGTTAACACGTGATCAATTTTGTGGGTGTGCGTTACAATAAAATGTTAAAACAATATAACTGGACCATTCAAATTCACAATGTATTATAGTATATTTAATTTGTGATAGTTGAAGAGTATACCGGAAGTAAATCTCTCGGACGACGATGACGACGACAGATGGTTTCGGGAACTGGCCGTACCGTTATACTGCAGCTTGTGCAGTTTGCCGTGCGACGAAGACGAATTACCCATGGTGCACTGCCATCCAAAGTACTATCCGCGGGGCCCGTGTGACCGGACGCACGCGGTGACGGATATGCGGGACGGGCGCACGCGTATTGCGCGTTTTTTAACAATAATAATTTGAATGAGTATTAACAATAATAATTAGACGAAATTATCGAATCTACCCGGCGATCGAAAAATATTGTACGTGGTTCACGGTATACGGTATACAATTTTTGTACTGCGTGTGTGAATAGACGTCTTTCGGGTGGTCGAGAGATCGTGCGTCGGCTCAGAAGTCTGACATACGAATATCACCGAAAATAGAACGCACACACAGCTGCTGTCGGGTCTAGCCGGTGCCCGTGGATCTGCTGCGCACTGTACGTTTTTCACACTCGACCGTAGCGGTGCCGGCGTCATTTTTTATACACTTTATTATATAATTATTATTTTCATCGGAATTATTTATTATTATAATTTATAATTATTGGTATTATTATTTTTAGTATCATTTTTACAGTATTATATTTGTTATTATTATTGCTATTATTATTATTGTTATTATTATTATTATTATTATTATTACACCATGACGTGACCGAGAAGGCGCCGCGCCGCAGACGTAGACGTCACAGTGACGATAGCGATGGCCAGAAGATGCATGGAATGTTGCCACGATTACAAAAGAGATTTAAACTTTTAGATTTTAAGCTATGAGAGGAATGCATTTAAATTTCTTTTACGTGAGTCGGCAGACCTTTTTGCAACTAAAAACGTATCTGAATCACTAGTAAAATTTTACGTCAGGAAATAGGCCCCACATCATCAAAAACTCTTACACGCACATATTATAAATGCCAAGTTAAAAATGGTTAACTTAATTCAAATGTTCTATACAGCCAACAAAAATTCACTCAGAATTATATACTTGATTAAGCGATACGTTATTGCCTAAGTATCTTACTAACCTAATAATTAACGACCTTTTTTTTATTTATTGTATTTCAATAATAATTTATAAGCTACAATTCATGGTCTTCCGATTTCTAATCTGAAAAATTTTAAATTAAATTAATTAACTATAATACATGTTAAGAGCAATCTGCGTGTATGATATTATATAGTGTATACAKGGTGATTCTTTTATCAAACAACATTCATTATTTAAAAAAGTATTGACTTTTTTCAAAATATTTTTTACATAGTTTCAAGTTATTAAAAAATTATATTTTTAAATATTTTTTATCCTTATCATTTTTTAAGTTTTTTACTTTTTTGCATGACAACATAGAGTTTTAATTTTATATTCCAAAGCAGAATATTTTTCTAAGTATTTTGATTCTTAAAAATCGAATATAGAACGAGTAGTTTATGAGTTATAAGTATTTAAAGTTTAGACAAGCGGAGTAGTGGACAAACATTTTGGGAGGTAACCCCGTACCACTCCACTCTGATCACTGAGGTACCTGATGGATAATACACCATATTACCATAATTATGACTGGTATTTTTACAATGATAAACTTTATAAAAATTGAAYTTCACAAGTAAATGTTTGCTTTAGTGATTAATGATGAGTATGATCGCATCGAAATCCCAACCCTAATATTAAATAATTGATAACCACTACGTAAAAATACGTAAAATATCTATCGTAGTTTCAATAAATTAATTATAAAACTTATTGGAGAAATGTTATGAAAGTTTATGAAAAATTCTCTAACACTTAAAAAATACAAAATAAAATTATCAGTATCGGCTAAAAGAGCTAAACACATTTTCTATTATCGGAGTTACATTTTAAAGGACCAGAACAAAAAACATATTGCATCAAAATAATTCTAGGCTTAATATTATTAATCATTATGGTATATTTAATATAATATTCAAATAGTTTCCAGGTTAATTTTTCAATTTCATACACAGGAACTTACGTTAGAGGAACAAAGCCAAACTTACTCACACCATTAATCACTCTCAAACAATTGTATAATATGGTTATTGTTAGAAAATAGCTTGGCATCCAGATTTCATCCAGACGACGGACAGTTTAGACGAAAAAACCGCGATGAGAGTTACATTATRGTATCTACATATTATTATGAATTATGATATAATAATTTACTAATATGAGAATTAAAATATGTTTTTTAATTCAACATAGTATGAAAATAAATAGGTGAACAGATAATAACCTACACCTACCTATTTTCACTGTTTTTATGTTTTTTTACTTAAAATTTTGATTTATTTAGCTTATATTAATGTTTAATTATAATGAATGACACTAAAATAAAGATCTTTTAAAAAAAATGTAGTTCCTCGTTAGAATAATATACCTTTTGACGTTAAAAGGACGTCCCCATGTATTGTTTCTGTCTTACAAGTGCGTAACATAGTAACTTCGCGTTCAGTAGGACACGTGTAGTTCTGTTAGTTTAACATTTATAGTGAATTATCCTCTCATAAAATTTAAAAGTAAGATTATTATCTAGACAACCTCGTACCTAGGCTTTTTATCATATTTTGTTTTTAAATAAGCGAGCTATGAGTAATTTAAGGTTTTAACATCTTAAAATACTCATAACTCGCTTTAAAATTAAAATATGATAAAAAGCCTATGAAGTTGTCTATATAATAATCGTACCTTTAAATTTTATAAGAGATCAATTCACTCTAAATATTAATCAATTACTTATATTGTGTACACGCATCCTAAAATATCATCATCAAATAGCAGATGTGCAATTTAAAGCTGTAGATTAAAATACTTGAAATTCAAAATGTTTATATGATAATATTAATAAAAATATAACAATAATAACTATCACGTTTGTGTACCTATAAGATATAATATATGAATATTATTGTATATGTATATTGTATATAGTATATACCCTTACTATACATACATCTATAATATTATACTAATCTAACATCACATCGTGAGTGAAGTAGGTAGACACTGAAGTATATACGAAACACGTTCATTATTATATATTATCATATTATTGTATAACAATATTATTATTATTGGCGTGGATCCGATCGAGTTCATATTATTATTTATTAGGAGAGTACTAATCTTTCATTCCATCCTCCTTTATATCATAAATATTTATTGTTGGTAAGATGTATCCACTTAAAGAACAATATATAGACCGTAGTTGGACACAATAAATAAAAATTTGAAATTGTGTATGTCCGACGTGTGTCCCGCATATTAAAAATAAATAAACAACCCGATAAATAACAAAATTAATTATGTATATAAATAAACCATTTTTACATTACATTAAGACAATCGGTGTGGTGATTATACAAACAACGATTACTGATTTATTTAATTAAACATCATAGTTTTATTTCTAACGGATATAAATATTGAATATACYATTCAATCAACTATTTCCTTACAAAAAAAGAAGATTCAAGTTTTTTGAGTTATGATCCTTAAGCACTGGCAGGGTAGTGTGATCTATTGCAATACGAATTGTTATTCGTTGGTATTGGATATAAAAATATATATACCATATACGAATATGATATGATGAAAAAGAGTAAATATGATGAAAAAGAGTAAATCGATAAAATAAATAATAATACGTCGCACATGATATTCTATGGAAAACTTTCATTGAGTTTACTTTGTTATCTTTATAACATAGAATCCCCATTAGAAGTGCTCTGTGCCTTGGGTTCGATTTTTGGTAAATCGGCGGTGCAAAATCCATTTCCTCCTACAAAGCGTTTAATAAATAAACCAGAGTGGTCGAGAAAATTTTATATTGTTGTATCTCTCGACAGATTCAATTGGTTAATTATTTCTCGTCACAATGGAACAGCAGACAATTAAACATGGCGTTCCGGCTGAAATACCTCTGCATATATAGTTCTGAAAACAAAAATAGTGCTATTTATAATATACAATGCTTATTCAACGGGTACCTATAGTAGTACACACGCATCGACCTTATTATCGTAAACATAAATGTTTGATAAGCGGTTAATAGATATATTTACGGATGATACATAATTACAAAAATATAGCCACATYATGTGGTATCATTGTGACTATATAGTATATATTATATATAAACAGAAACCTTGTCGACCCTGCGATGACAAAATTTACCCTGGATAATAATAGGTATATATAGAGGCACCAAGCTATTTCGGAAGACAGACACTATTTAGTTTGTATTTATTTTAATCATAGATATATAAGAATGGATAGGCCATTCATGCTGACTCGTACATACGGAAACGAACTACATGACACAAATATATGTATATAATATAATTATTGTACATAATTTATGATAAGACCTCTATCAGAATAAAAGGTACTGATAAAAATCAGTCCTCTACTTCTTCCCCATTCCGGCACAATTCCCTCTATTTTATTAACATAGCCATGGCCTATCCGTTCTTTAATAGGGGCTAGGTAAATTGAGTCCGAGATAAGTTTGGTACATTTTGAAAGCGGTAAATTGAGTCCTGAGTAAAAATAGGTAGTAGGTAAGTTGAGTCCCAGAAAAAATAAGGCAGTAGGTAATTTGAGTCCCAGGGAAAAACGATTTATATGCATTTGAAATTAAAAAATGTGCACTATAAAATTTTTATTTGTGATTTGTGGACAATTCATTGACTGCATGTATATGATTTTGAAAATAGCAACATGYATTTTTATTGCATAAAAAATAATTATATAATTAATAAAAATGCATGTTGCTATTTTCAAAATCATATACATGCAGTCAATGAATTGTCCACAAATAAAAATTTCATAGTGCATATTTTTAAATTTTAAATGCATATAAATCRTTTTTCCCTGGGACTCAAMTTACCTACTACCTWWTTTTWCCCGGGACTCAATTTGCCGAGTTAGGGTCATTTGGGACTCAATTTACCAACTCCGCTTTAATATCTTTCTATGGTTTTAATAGCACTGCAACACACCGGTGTCGGCGAGGCGTTTTATCCCCAGTTCAGCCGTATCGTCTGTTTTTTTAAATAATATAGTTTTCTTAAAATTAAATGGGCCACGATTTTGTTTTCTTCGAACTTTGAATAATAATATATAAATATACAGACTTTTTAAATTTACCRAGCGAAAACTCCACGTAATCTCACATCGATGTACATAATATATAATATATAGGTATATGAATAAAAATTAATTTTTCTTTATTTGTTTGTCCACTATAAACTCAAAAACTATATTTAATGATTAAATCCTTCAACATAATATCAAACAATGCATATTGATGAACAGATCTAACAATAGATAGTACTTTCATTATTCATACATACCTACATATTTTTTTCTGCCATTTTATCATTTATGAAACAATCAAAAACGAATATCCCATAAAGAATATTTTTAGACTTTTTTATTGGATAAAAGTTTATTATAATGCATATTTTAAGAATATTTAGCACATTAAATTCACACTAAACTGACACGACACGTCGACACAACATATAATATTATTTTATTTTATCATACAACAAAGTAAGACATTAATTCATAGATAGACCATACCTACTGTTATTATTTATGCAACTACATGTTTCATATCTGTTTGTATGCGTAACATTATTATTGTTACTTTATTTTTGGGGCTCAGAAGTTATAGGAGTACTATATAATTATTCTGTATGCTATTATCGATCGATAGCTTAGTCTGCTATAAATCGAGTTATACATATGTTGTTGAGTTATAACCCATATGAGTTTAAAAAACGAAAATCAAAAGATAAAGCATCGATAATACATATTTTATATATTTCGTCAATTTTAGAAGAAAGTGCATTTTTTTTTCATACGTATATTAATAATAATCATTATTATTATTATTATTATACATATTTAATATTTAAATATTAAAATATTTTCTAAACAAAAAATAATCTCTTTCTCTCTAAACTGTTCAATTTATTAAAAATATTGAATCTAAAACTCAATATTATTAATTAGGTATTGTAGATATTTATGGTTTTCGTCGCGGTCAACAATTAATTAAACTACAATGGTATGATGTGCATAATATAATATCTATCGCACTAATATTCTAATGTATTCATCAAATTATTTTTTCAGCTCAAAAAATGTCAAAATGATAAACGATATTTTGCCATATTAGAAATATAATAAATTTATTTTCCATAATTTTCATTTCTTTTAGTGAAAATTAATAACAACATAATATAGTTTTTTTTAGAATTCGAAGTTTTTATTAAATATTTTTATGCCAATTTGTATGCATATTTTTCACTTTTAAAATCCTATAACTTCCGAGCCTTTATACTTAGTATATGATTGTTAATGGTTACAAAATCACGAAAATGTGATCTTTTTCGTTAGTCAAAAATAGATATATAAATAAATACTACAATAWAATCCTATATAAGAACAGCACATAGATATGATATAGTATTTTTTTTTACAATATTATACCACATAATATACGAGTAAAGGTTTAATTATTGGCTACATTAAAGTGTTTATGTTATTATGTTGATTTTCGCGCAATATTGTCTGTAGATTGTATTTAGTCCACCAACAAACATATTTTTCAACTGGCAGATATAACAGGAATATTAAAATTATTAATGACACTGCATTTAGACAAAAAAATATTCGACTTGAAATTAGCTGCCAAACAGATAACGAGGAGTGCCAAAAAATTGAAAAAACAAGAGGCCAAAGAAATTCACACATGTTTGAAGCACGTAATGCTCGGTGAACTCGAAATCGGCAGGGTACACGCGGAAAACGCAGTGCGCAACCATAACCAAAGTTTGGAATTATTAACGCTGGGTGCCCGATTACAAGGAGCCTTGAACATCCTGCAAGCGTCCATCTTGCAAAACAAAGTACGAAATTTTTTTTTTTTTAGGTAGGGAGGAAGAGTGAATGATTTATAACTTCATATCACGATCATCTACTAAGTTTAAAGCTTAGGGCTTTTCACGCCATTTCGATAATATGATGAAGTGATAACTCATAGCACTAGTTAGGTATACAGTATATTATAGTTTATAGTTGGCTCAATTTTAACCCGTAAAATATAATATTATGTTTGAACCACTTAATCGAAAATTATTGTTAAAAGTCTAAATTTATTAATCAATTAAAGGTTGGTATTCATAATAATAATAAATAAAAAAGCGGGTAATTAGGTGTCAGTAGACACAGTAGTACAGTAGGTTAAAAGTAGGTCACTGTATTGGATGGTGTAAAATTTGAATTCAACGATAAAATATCATTTCAYACGAAAAACTATTCTGATCGGAGACGGTTTGTCAGCTTAAGATATTAGGCTATTAATTGTATTATAAATTGGTATTATTACTACTGCAGCTAGTAGATTGAATTAATATTTTTTAATTTACATATTATCAAATTTTTATGTAAATAATATACTTTAAAAGTTTCAAGCACCCAGGAATAATATTTTTAAATTACAATAATTTAAATAAAATTGTTATTCTTAAATATTTAATGTGTAATTTCGTCCAAATTTRAAAGTAAAATAATACTACCCAAAAAATCGTGGTAAAATATTATTTTGAATTTTTTGGTTTCAGAATAGACTACTTAAATTTTAAATTTCCGATCCTTAGATGSAAAAGCAGTTGAACGTTTAGTTACAAAATAATTTGTAAATAATTTCATTAAAATTTGAACTTAAAATACTTATAAAAAAACATGGGTAATGGATATTGGATAATATGTATAATTTATATTATTATTAATATTTTTCTACTGCTATTATACCTCAGATAATCATAGGAATTTTGCATTAAGTTTTTAAGCTTTTTAGMCCAACAAGTAAAAATATTTTAAAACTTTATTTTAGGAAATAGTTTTTTAGTGGAAATTTCAATTATTCGCAGTTATTCGTTTTTTAAGAAAATATGAAAATTGCTATAATACCTATGTGATTATTCAATATTTCCGGTAAACATTTTTTTATCGATTGAGAAATTCAATCTAGTGAAAAATCTTGTATTGAATTTTTCAAATCTTAGATTTAAAAATAACAAGTTTTATGTATTTCTAACATAAAACGGTTTGTAAATTTTATATATTTTGTCAAAATTTGAAATTCAGATGCTCATACAAAATTATTTTGRATTTGTTGAAAACTGATTTTGCGTAAATATTCTCGATTTATCTTATATGGTCCGAACTTACTACTGTCTATAGTGCTTTTTATTCATCACATCAACGCTTCAATTCATTGTCATCATTGCGTCGAGCATCAACCTATAAGTATAGTTCAACAATGCTGTAAATGTACACTCTATATAATATGTACGGTTATTGAAAATCTTCTTATGCAAATTTGGCACTGTTTTGTTTTTCGTCACTTGAATATTATGGGTGGATGACGTGTTTAAAACTTTAAAAGTATAGTGTTGGCCAATCGGTCAAACATATCAATGCTGCATATTGATATGATGAGAAACCTAAAAACGTAATCGAAATAGATTGACTTTCCCAAATCATTTTTTTTTTATATTATTATTATTATTTCATAATATTCAATTATATATTCTATACATATTTTTGGATTTATGCTTGAAAATTGGAAAATTAGATCTGAATACTCTTACTTATTAATGAATATTAATATTAATTAATTAAATTGTTTTCTTGGTTTACAATATAATATATATTTTCACTTCACA